CATGACTAAGAAAAGAAAACCAACGGTACCCAAACCGGATTAACCCAGTTTAAAACTGGATAATTTATTCTTTTGAAGACTATTATAAAGTCTAAGAAAGAAATAATAAAACACAAAAAAGTCGAAAGACAAACCCATACCAAAAACAATTTGATTTTTGAAAAAAGGACACAACCAACGAAACATAAGAAAAACCACAATAAACCCAACATAAAACGTTATCACATAACAAGACCTCTCACAGAAACCGCACGAAATCATACTCCCACTCCTGGCCTAACCCACCAGAGAGGACGTCCTGAGCATGCTCTATAGCCGGCCTAACGCACCGCGCTACATCCACGCTTTGTGACGACACTTCTATTTTTAATAAGAGGTACTCAAGGGTGAGTAACTCTTCAAAATAACCGAACTAAAACAAAAAGCTTTTGTGAAAACAACTAACCAAAATCATAATTAAAACACCGAACTAATAAAAATTTACACTAAATCTAATGAGACTAAGAGATATAAGAGTAAGATTAGGATCGGTATTAGACTAAGAAGTTGCACGAATCTATCCGGCCGAAAATAAGATAGCGTGACGAGCAGACGGTGTAACCTATCCGAAATTACTCTATGAGTTAACCACATCGGTCATAACTCATTCAGGTTTTTTACCACCAAATTATCAGCACACTGCTTTAGTTTCATAATTTTTATAGAAGACTTATATTTCACCTACCGAGGGATTATTTCAACCAATGTGAGGGGATCTCTATGAAACTTTTGTTTTGTGGTAAAACTTTGTGTTCAGATGAACCACAGAGAGGCAGGAGATCTCACTTTTAGAGTTTTTTGACAAAAAAAGTAGAATCTATTATCATAGATTTTAATTGTTTATAAGAGATTATAATAGATTATAAGAGATTGTAGGAGATTGTAGAAAAATTATAAACATTTATAATTGATTCTAATTTATTATAATGTTACGAAAAATATTATCATTATAATGGATTATAAATCGTTTAAACACCTAAATTTGTCGCTTATAGTTAAATATAAATTTGCTAAAAATACAATTATATATATATAATATAATTAATTGTTTTCTCTTTTTACCGAGTGCGGGACAACCAGTGCTGCAGCGAAAGGAAACAGTCGGATATAACAAAAACCTACTCGAAATTAGGAAAACTAAGGAAGAAATTCAAAGTATATCTTCTGTGAAGTCTGAGACAAGGAAGCAAGCGAATATGATTCGAGAGCTTTAAATAAAACCCCCACTCGAAAAAACGAGCTCAAATTAATGAACATTCACCCTCTCCGTAAAATTGCTGCAAAGTGCTAAAATTTCAGAAGTTGCATTCAGAACCTTTTTGATTTGAAACTCAATTAGTTTATTCGAATTTTAATATTTGACAACTTCAGCTAAATTTACTTTCGTTATGAAACTGAGATCAACGTTTGATTGATAATGCATGTGGATCAAAGAACGTTTGATTGATAATGCATGTGGATCAAAGTTGTTTGCTATTGAGGCTGAAAAAAGTTTCTCTTGAAGTTCTGAAAACGATTGTAGAATATAAATAGCTTACGCGGGGCTGTTTGTTGATCAAAACTTGAGAGTTGTTTCATGATTCATTGCACCTTTGTGGTCATTGGTGAAAAAAAAACATTTAACGAGAAAAAACGAGAAATTGGAAAAAAATTCAAAGTTAGTTGGAGATGAGGTCCGTAAGCTTGAAGTGCGTATGGAAAATCTTTTCGAGAAGTTTTCAGTAGAGATGGATGAAAGGGTTAACTTGAATGTTTAACTTTTATCTTTCAAGTAACTATCGGGGACAATTTTGTCCCTCCGTTGCAAACATCCGGGACAAAAGTGCCCCCCCCCCCACTTCTGTGAATTACTAAGAATGAAACTTTACAACTACAAGCGAGCTCAAAACTAACTACCAAATATGATTGGAAGAGAAGAAGTCCAGAATATTGATGCTTCTGGTGGACTGTTTCTTGTTTTGGATTACTCAGCTAGCTAACAGGTTTTTTTCTTAATTTTTCTGAGGCAATCCCTCCTGGTTTGGAGTCTCCCTAAGATAAGATTAAGAAATGCTCTGCTTTCTCAGTGTGTGAGGAGAATTGACTATGAGAAATCAATTTTCTCTGGTTTTTTCTCCTCTGTTCAGAGATTGCTCGTCGTATGGGATGGGAATTAAAGTAATTATTTTCCTCATTCTGCTGGATTTCTAATTGTTAAAAAATGCTAGTCAAAAAGTTTTCATATATGAAAAGTTTCTAAATTTTCAATTTCCATAGATGAAAAAATGCTAGTCATACACTTTCCATATATGAAAAAATGCTAGTCATACAATTTCCATATATGAAAAAAATACTAATCATAGACCTTTCATGCAATTTTCTGTATATATGGAAATTGTATGACTAGTATTTTTGGTCATCCAGGGTACTTTTGAAAATATTAATACAAAAATTATAGCGATTATATCCCAATAAAAATTTTGAGAAATGTTTTTTTTACCCCAAACACGTCTGTTAAGCAAAATTTTGGAAAAGTTCTTCTCGACACGGAAAAAAATGCAAACTTATGAGGTGGAAATCAGAAAACCGTTCAAATAAAAAATCCGACATTCTCATTCTCTTGTGAAAACTAACGTTAGCTTAGAGTCACTCCCAGTTATTTTAGAGCCAAATGCGCCTTAAGAAAAATTTTGACGTTGGTCAAGCGTACCCGCACTGACAGAAATGGTTTCCGGTCGATTTAAATTGATTTTAAATTGATTTTAAATCGATCCAAATTGATTAACCATGTACATTTCACGAGCTCAAATGGATTTCAAATCGATTTAAATCGATCTTTTTGAAAATTTGAAATCAATTTCAGTGTCTAGAAAATCGATTTAAATCGATTTCGATGAATTTTTCGACACACCAAAATCGATTTTTGCTAACACGACGAAAAAAAACATACCCTTTAAAAAAATTGTTGCCATTTTATTCTCGAATTTTTAAACATAAGCACTCGTGCCAGATGTTATAGAATTCAATAAAATGATCCACATAAATCAGGTTTTAAACTCAATAATTTGCAATAAAATCATAGAAAACCATTGTAAATCAGATTATGGGCAAAATCTTGTGTAACAAACCAGAAAAGGGTCAGGTAAAATTAAATTTTGATCTCAACAATGTGCAATAAAATCATAGAAAATCATGAAATTAAATCAGATTTTAAGCAACAACTTATGAAACTAATCAAGAAAAGGGTTAGAAATTTATCGATATTTTGGTCTTTTTAAGCTGCACTACGCTAAGGATGTAAAATGAAAAATGTTAGGCAAGAAAATAATGCAATAACAATTTAAAACTGATAAAACCTGAATGAAAAAAATTGATTTAAATCGATTTAAATCCGTTTTAATCCCCTTAAAAATAAAAACACATTCAGACTGTAAAAAATGCATTTAAATTGATTTAAAAATGATTTGGATCAATTTTTTTAGCTGGGATTTAAGATCAATTTAAATCGATTCTAAATCGATCCAAATCAATCTTCATCTCTTTAATTTAATCAACGTACTTTTTTCATACTAAAATCGATTTAATTTTAATCAACGTATTTTTTTCATACTAAAATCGATCCTAATCCATTTTTGTCAGTGCGGGTATAACTATACCAAATGGGGGACCCTTTGAAAAAAATTGGCAACCAGAATTGAGGGAAAAAGCCCCCCCCCCCTCGGCACGCTACTGCTTAGAGAAAAGGTAGAACTAGAGAATATTTTGATGCGTTTCTAAATTTCTATCAAAAAAACTCCAGAAAATACAATTTACTTGTTCAAAGCAATCATCGCCAAACCAAAGCCAAAATACAAGAACGAAAACTTCAAAACTTTAAAGAAAAAGAGTGCAAAAATATTATTTATAAAATTGCATATTTTCATGCAAAGAATAGTTCAGAAAGTTTACTGCAACAATTATTATTCGTGAAATCTTCAAACTTCAAAAAAAATTATCAAGTTGTGAGAAATGAATTGATGGCATATTATGAAAGTTTATAAAGTCTTTAGGAGGATAGAGATAAAATTTCAGGGAAAAGAAATTGCCCAATTCACTCAGAAATTTGTTGACAAGAAGAGCTATGTTGATTCTGGTTCATACTTTTTTTACAGTTTGAATCGTAACATTGCGGGACAAAGTTAATAGAACGCTAGAAAACTCAAGAAAGAAAGAAATTTCTTCCTGAAAAAAGTGCTCAATAAAGTGCTAAAATATTCTTGTGCAAAACAACATAAATCATTCAAAAGTTTTTAATAAGCTCATGAAGTTGGGTTTTTTACTTGTATTTCACAAAAATAATTTGTGGAAGCATGAATCGAAAAAAAGGAATGACACGATGCGATAAAAAAAACGGCTGCGATAACTTCTGCGCGTTTTGTGAGGAATATTAAAAAAACACAAAACAAGGGCTATTTTTGTCAAGATCGGTTTTGCAACTTTTCCAGATTTTTGAATAGCGTGTTTTATTTGCAAAGTTGCAATAAATTCGCTGTCATTATCGGATCAGACAATAAAATGTTTGAATTGTCAAAGACACCTTTGTCTGTTTATCCAGGCCGGTCAAATTTTCTCTTTTTTCATTTTTGTGCTCTTTTTGGAGAAACCGATGTCATGAGTTTCCTGAAAACAATTCTGGGCCGATTAACCAATAAAATGTGCGATACTATCAAAAGGTATAAATCAGAATTCTTTGTGCGACCAGTAAGATATAGGACAATGTTTTGGTGCCAAGTACGAATAAGTATCAGTTTTTGGATCTCCACTGATTTTGAAGTGTTTGGAAATGTATGAATAGAAGTGAACTGCGTATGAACAACTGAAGAATTCATCCCATTCAGCCGGACTTCTGTTTTTTCCTGTGTTGAAAATAGTTTTCGCTCTTTGCGCGCCAGTAGTGAAGAATTTGAAGGTCGGAAAAATTGTGAGATTCGCACTTTTAAAACCTCTCAACTCTTTTGGGCTGATTTGATAAAGCTGCTCAATCGAGTGTGTCAACATTAGAGGCCCGGTCGCTGCTCTGTTTTGGTCGCCGTTGTAAATTTTGACCAAGTTTTCCATGATTTTCCACGGAAGTTGGTGACCTTTATCCAAAGCCACAAACGCGTTTTGAATATGACCTTTTTCACTTGGTGCTTCGGGGTTGCAAAACTCGCTGTTGTTTTTCACTAAGTCATATTCACGACCCATATTAGTCATAGTAACTGCGTTTCGAATCCCGGTCAGGTCTCTGAGAATGACGAAGTCTAGATCTAAATACATGCCGCCGTATTTATACACAGAAACCTGTCGCATCATATCGCTGGCATGCGTGATGACATCTTTATTTCCTTCCAGCTGTGAAAAAACAAGTTTTTCAAGGGGTGTTTCTTTGACAAACTCAGCAAAGTTATACTTGAAGAACTTAGCCCCGTATCTCAAAAGCTGACAGGTCGCGTTGCTCTCAGCTGGTTCTAAAACCGGCGATGACATGAGAATAACCGGATTTCGGCCCGAGTTGCGAAGCGCCGATTCAACTGAACACGACTGACGAGGATCCAGAATTGAATGCTCAGCTGTCTCGATGAAGAACAGCGGGTTTTCCGGCAAATCTGTTTCTTGGAAATTGTCGAGCCAAATTGTCCGTGAACAATTTACGTTCGGATTAACAAGTGGCAATTCATACTTTTTTATTGGTTCGCCTTGATTTTTTTCAATTTCTTTATCCTGTTCAAATTTATTCGGCCTAAACTCGGAAAAGGAAGTGTGTTGTCGTTTATTTTGGGCGTCCTCTTGATTGGGCTCTGAAAGGTAGTTACTAAAAGCCCAAACAATAAGAAACACTAAAATAATTATGGTGTAGATTTTAAACTTTTTAACTTGTGTACTAGTGAGTAACATCATTTTATTTAAATAATAGCTTAAGTTGTTTTTTGATTAATTGAAACGCTTTAGTAACGAGATCTGATTTAAATGAGATACTTAAAAAACGCGTTGAGTTTGATTTTTCAAGTTTTTTATTAAATGTCAAACACGCTTGTCGCCGGCTAATGAAAATTAGTAAGCACAAAAAGAAAATTATGAAAAAGGGCTGGAAAGTTTTGTGTAAGCTATGAATGTTCCAGACAAAAAAATATTATTACAGACAAAACAATGTCAGTTTTACGGAGCCCTGCCTAAAACTAATAAAAAATTGTCGCAACGGCGCACAATTTATGGATAGGCGCCTAATTCGGTGTGTGCAGTTCTCTGCAATTCAGCGACAAGTCTTCAAACACGTTAAATTTTTGTTGAAAATGAAACGAAAGAACAAATAAAGATTAAAAAAACGTCTTTGTTGCGGACAATTCACAAAACATACAGTTTGGTACCGTATTGTAACCAAAATATTTAGTTAACGCAAGATGTTACTTAAAAAGCATGTCATTAACGCTTTTTTGTGGTTTTTTGTTAGGGAAAAACTTGGGAAGAAATTAATTAAAATACGGAATTATTTTTTAAATCCCCGTATAAAAATTTGATCGATCTTTTGTGAACTGCTCGTGCACTTTGTAGATATTTTTCTCCAGCTTTCAAATTTTCAAAGGCAAAAGCACATGCTGTTACATCATACTTTATAGAAGACATGTTCATTAAAAAGGCGAATTTGTATTGATCAATTCTTTTTGTAGTTAACAAATAGAAAGTAACAAATATAAAGTACTAAACGTTTGAAGTACCAAAATTTATAAGCTAACAGTAATAACCGGTTTCTGTACCGCGTCCAGACAATTCAGCCGAAGACCATTCAGCCGATTTGAAATTCAGACAATTCAGCCAAAAGTATGCAGACAATTCAGCCAACAATAGTGACCGCCGCAGTCGCGCCAACGTGTTGCGAGCTTAGGACTCTGTACGAAATTTAGAGCCGGTTATCGTCACGAAGCGGCGATGCGCGCGTAGTGCGCCCACCGGCGACCTTAAACCGAGGAATAACTCCAATTCCTTTTTTTTTCTTTCGTAGCTAGCGTTATGTAAAACTGGCTGAATTGTCTCTGGCTGAAAAGTCTGTATATTTTTGGCTGAATTGTTTGAATTTCAAATTGGCTGAATTGTCTTTGGCCGAATTGTCTGTTTGCCTTCTGTACACGCAGCCGCACTGAAGCTCCCATTGATTACTTTCAAGTTTTTTTGTCAGTGTCTGTAAAAAGAACAAGACTGCTCGTTTCAGGGCGAAGCCCTAAATGTTCCGACTGCCTTTTAAGGTTTATGGAGCAGTAATAACATTAAAAAATTAAATGTAAGAAAAAATAAAATGAAAATTTTTTTTTCTTCCAAAATTTGAATTTTTTTTTGAAAATCATCCCCCTCACCCCGAGCACAAATATTCCGTTACTTTCGTATCGAAAGTCGGAACAATAATAATCGATTATAGTCAATTAAAAAAACGTAATGTAAAAATGAATTATTTACTAAAGCATTAAAAACTATTGCAATAATTGATTATTTTTCTGTTTTATAGATAAAAACCATAAAACTACATTACAATCGACATTGATAACTACATTTTTTTTCACTTTAGTGAGATGCGAATTTCATTGCATATAAAGGTTTTAAACTAAAGTTGGCTATTTCTTGTTCAGTTTCAACTTTTTTCTGCGCTACATTTTCGTTAATGTTATAGCTACTTTATGATGCCCCCCCCCCAAGTCCCCCTCCCCACCACCTGAACCAATCCCACTACCCCACCTGAATCAACCTCCTCCCACTCCACCTGAAGGAACCCCTCCCCCCACCTGAACGAACCCGCCCGCGCCAGACCCCAGACCAAAACCTTTGGTTGAGGGGGTTGGTTCTGGGGTTTTCGTTCTGGCCGAGCGGGGGAGTTGATTCAGGTGGAGGGAGTTTTCAATAGTGGGAGGGGGGGGGGGTTGTTTCAAGTAGGGGGGAGGTGTTTCATGCGGGGGGTATCTCAGGTGGGGATGGGCTTTGTTCAGGTCAAGTCAGGGGGCGGCTAGTTCAGATGGGAGGGGAGATGTTCAGGTGGTCAGGTGATGGGGGTTGTAAAGGGGCAAGGGGACAAAAGGTGCAAAAGGGGGACAGGTTAACGGAATCGTTTTGCAATTCGAGAAACTTTAGTTAGAAATTTTGTAGGTCTTACACTCAATTTGCAAAATTTTTCATTACTCATTTGATGAATGGAGAAACTTTTGCAGAAGAATCCATTTTTTTTGTCTGAGCGTAACATGGGAATCGATTACATTGACAATTTTTTAGACCACAAAAATCCATTATAATCGATTTCTTTTCATTTTTCTTTAAGCTTTCCATTAGAAGTATTATTACACAAAAAAAAGAGAACAAGTTTAGTTGGATACTGTGCAAGTAGCACAGATCGTTCCGACCACAGTCTTAGAAAAAAAAACAAAAAAAACTTTTTTTAAATTTACTGTCGTTTCTTAACGCATGGCGAGATAAAAAGATCTGAACGAAAAAAAAAAACTTAAAGATACTTGACAGATATATTAAAAAGGCCACTTGAAAAACAGTTTTTGAAGAAAATTGACTAGAAAAACGAGAAAAATTGTTAAAAAAAACTTCAAAGTTTTTTGCAGAAATTTTTGGAATTTTTAACATTTGTTTTTAAAATGGCGCTAAAAACTTCAAAACCACTTTTATTTGAATGAAACTAATTTTCAAGGCTGAAAGTAAGCTTAATTAAGCTATTGTACGCCTACACGCTCACTCCATATTAGTTCGAAATTGGACCAAAAATCAAAAATTTCAAACCGTTTTTTTTCGAAAAAATTTTTTAATATTTTTAATTACGTTCAAATCACGGTTGAAAGGGCTTTCAAATGATATATCACTCAATTCACTTCAATAATTAGTTGTTTTAAATCATTTTGTGTGGAAAACAAAAAAGAAAAAACAAAAAAAAAACACGAATATAAATTTCCTCCGCTTTTTTCAAATGGTTGGAACAAAAACAGAACAAATTATTATCTCTCGTTTTTTTACTGGACAAAAGAGGTGCTGTTTTAGCTTGAGTTTAGTAAAATGTTTTAACAGAACAATCAACGCATAAAATTAATGAAGCGTCATAGATCTGACACATACCCGGGTTCACATCCACACTCAAAAAATGATTATCATACAATTCCATCACAGTTTGTGGCAAAAACGATTATCGTACACTTTCCTTATACAATTTTTGTATGATAAGCAGTTTTCACTTTGGCTCAAAAAAAATCAAAATTGAAAATTCCAGTATTCAGAGAAAATTTTTTCTGTTACCAGTCGCAATATCGTTTTTATGCTCAAACAATCATTTTCTGAGAAAAAAATAGCATGCAAAGAGTTGTGATGTTTATGTATAAGGTAGTCCAGGCTGATTTTTTTTTAAAACAAAAGTAAAACAAATTGACTGTGATTCTTAGTTTCGAATCCAAGCTTGAAAATATGGTACCATATACTTTAATCTCTCTAAAAAAATCCGGCCACGATTTTTGAGAAAAAAAATTTTTCCTGGTCAACAAATTTTTTCCCGCCATAGAAAAGTTTTCTACAGTTTGACCTTCATACAACGAAAACGCGTATCATACAACTCCACAACGGAGTGTTTTGGAAGAAATGTTTTTAATACAATTACCAAAGAACGAAACTGTAAGATAAAGGGTTTTCAAATGAAATTCTTTCAAAAATTACATTATTTCGATTTTTATTATTTCGATTATTACTCAAAAACATAAAATTTTGGCAACTTTTGTTTTGTGAAAGTAACTTTGGTGTACACGAAATTTTTTTTTGAAAAAAACGCTTAATTTTTCAATTTTGTTAGAGTAAATTGAAGGTTTCCCTTTTTTCATAAGAAAAAAAATGAAAATCTAGAAATTTTATAACTCGGTTCAATTGCCAAATCATTTCTGCGCTTAAATAAACACATTTTTAACCAATGAAATCTGGTTTAAACTGAATAAAACCACTTTTTAAAGATTTTTCATTTTTTTTGTTGAACTATAATGCACTATATTTTGTTTTAATCCATCATAATTCACATCAAATTTATTGATTTGAGCTTGCTAGTTAGAATCAATGTTTTTTGAAAATAATTTTTTGAAAATTAATAGGTTTTTATGTACCGTTTTATGTTGTTCCATTTGATTCATTGGGCATAATTTTTTTTGAAAATTTGGTTCAAAAGACTTGATATTCAAAAAATGTAGAAATAACTGCATGAATGGATTTTGATTAATGCTTTTTTTATCATGGAAAAAGTATGATCAACATTTTTCCATTAACCAAAAAAATGTTCAATTATATTCACTTTACTGTAAAATTTTCTAAACTGTGCTCAAAACCGAACGCAAGTGACAAAGACCCTGGTTGTTTGGACATAGAGTCGCAAATTCAATGGTCTTTCTTGAACAATGCAATGAAAACTACCTGATTGCAGATATCTTACACAAACATAAAACCGCAAAACATTAAACTACTGTATTTTGCCAAAAAAA